CTCAAGTTCACAGTCCCTTGGATTTTCTTCATCAACTTTCTCTTTGAAATAAATAGGGGAATTTACGTATTCTCGGCAAACTAAGCAGCAACCTTCTTTCTATAGCCTTTTTCTCTAAGGAACGCACACATATGTAGTATTGGTTTGTTTACAATCTATTGCTGCCAGCTGCTCTAACAACTTGAGTCGAAAGAATTGTCAAAAACTGTTTTGAAACGCTTTTACAAAGCTCCAATCTTTTCTAGTTAGAGCGAGTATTGTCGGCAACCAGTTTTTCTTCGGCAACCGTTCCATTTGAACTGCATGTAAATCTGCTGTTCTATTATCGGCAACTCGAAATCAGCTACAATTTATAGTGCGTGTGTTTCATTTCAAGAAAACCTTGCTAGATTGCTTTTTCTCAGTGGTAGAAATATAGTCAAATTGAAGCTGAAAGCATAAAGAATCGTTTGCATGCATTCAGCGAAGTGTTTTCGTAAGAAAATCCAGTGAAAATAGTGTTTCAATTTGGATTGCCGAAAATAGTCTGTCATGCCGAAGCCGTCATTTCCCCTACTACAAATTTGATACGCTTACAAATAAAAAACGGAAACGGCGCCGGTGGTGTAGTGGTAAGCGTGATTACCTCTCACCCCATCAGGCCTGGGTTCAATCCCAGTCGGCGCCGCCGGGATGTTCTGAGGCATAACATTTCTGAGCCGTTGGTCCCCGGTTCATGAGTTGATGGGTCGATAGGTAGGGTCCAGGTGTGGGAGCTGCCTTCCTGGCACGTCGGTAGCATTGGTGCGCAGCACGGAAAACAAGATCGACGGAAAAACAAACCATAGGAAAAAAAAAAAATAAAAAACGGAAAGAGTTAAGATAATTGATGTTTGATCAATTAAAAGAACTAAACGTTCACATTTGTTCCGTCCATTAGCGGTCCTTCGTCAAGCTTCCGTTCATGCCCCTAGGCACAGACCCTTCTACTTTTTTACAAATAAAGTGCCTCAGTTACTCCAGTACTGACTCACGCACCCTACTGAATTCCAGCCAAAAGTAATGTTATTGAACCCATGTCAGCAAATTGATTTTCTGAAACTTAAAATCGATATTTGGTGTGTTGACAGTTGTTTATACAGATTGTACCACAATTTGTATGAACCGTAGACTGTCCCTTGCCAATTCAACAAAAGTCAAAGGATGCCTGCCCACATTAACCAAACCGACTTCCCTACGGTTTATCCAATGCAACGCCACTCGAATATGTCCCAAGCAAAGATTTCATCGCTGCCGTCATCATCTTATTGCAGTGTCCTGTATTGTTTCGCTAAGCAAACATCCCAGTTTAAGTGCCTTTTGTTGAGTGTGGTGAAAACTTGAAAATTATTGCTCACCAACCATAACCACGCGGCGCGCCAGAGCGGAATGTACCACAATCACTGAGCAGCTGAAGAAAATTGAATACAACGATCACCATTTGTATTCTCGCTGCTGGTTATGTGGTATTAAATTATCGTCGGGATGAATTATGGGATATGCCACACAAGTGGCAAGGAGAGAAATTGGTTCGCTGCCTCGAACGTATGCGATAGTCGAACGACGCGACGCGACGGACGCTGGCTGGCTGCTGTTGTGTGCATTTTCCTTCGACGGGTCTTGCCCGGTGGCTGGCGGGACATGTCTGGAAATTCAAGACAAGAAATACTGTTCTAGAAATCAGAAGAATGTGAGGAACTGAGCAACTCTCAGTGACAAAGGACAATGATGCATGCAAACTGGTTTAAATGGATTGCATGGGTCTGAATCTTAATTAAAAATTAGTCATAATAATAAAAAAAAAATCGGAATGTGTGCCATAGCTGCGGAAAATTGAAACCGCTCCAACATCGAATCTTGCCAAACATAGATTCACAGTCGAAGAAGCCAACGGAGCATGTGAGTAGATATGCAGTGTCTGAGCCGAAGTCCAGTATGGAAGCCATTAATCAAACCATCATGCCAATCAAATTCCAGTTCAGGTGCCCTGGCAGTTGTGGTGGTGGAGGCGGTGGTTCAGTTCAGCGAACTTTGTGGATGGATGCGAGCCAAGAGAATGCTGGATTGAGATCTACGTAGCCACGTCCATGCCGACCGATCAATGATGCGATGCAGTGCGGCGCAAATACCATTCCGGAGAGCCGTCCGTGAGTTATAGAGTCATTTTCCCGGCGGCGGATGTCATCCGTAGTCCAGCCAACCATTCTCAACTGACTAGTGGTAGGTAACAGGAAAAAATAAAAAAAACAAGGGCAGAGACAAACTCACTGCTTTGTGATTAATGATTATGTCGTGTCTGTTGGACAAGCTGCACTAGATGAGCTTATGATTTCTGGTTCGGTTCTTGCTTGCTTGCGGTAAACATTTGTAGTTCTGAAAAACTACCTGTGAAAATTCCATGTAATTAACCACTTCATTCGAGCAGTTAAAATGACATTTACTACCACTCAAACTTTGAAATAAAACATTATTTTGAGATTTTTTCTTCTAAAACCACGAGAAAAGTAGCCATCATTTGTGCGTTTCATAAAAAATAGAAATTAGTTGGTTCAGTTTTGAGGAATCTCTGGTAGAAAGTCACGCCAAAACTGCTTGAGAAAGTGGTCAATTGAGGCTTCTTAATAAAAGAGCAGTTGTAGCAGTTAATTTCATGTCAGTCCATGTCAAGTGACCGAACGATTGCATCGACCCTCTACGATTCTTATTAAAATTGGTGGAACTTCTTATTTAAGGTCAATATTTTGTGCCAATCCCCCTTTTTTCGATCAAACACGAATGTGGGGGAATTTACGTATTTTCGTTGATCTAATAGCGAATTCGTTTAATATTCAGTTCCAACCTGGATCGGGTATCAAGGTTGAGTCTGCTTGTTTTCTGACAAACGTCAGTTTGCTCGTTTGTATCTAAAACCTAGCTCAGGTTGAGGTTCACACTGACAAAAAGTTCGGTTTCGCACTGGGTTGGAACTGGTGTTAACCCCGATAATAAACGAATACGCTATTAGCAAGTTATCAGTGTCACGCACACATATGACGTGTTTGTTTGTTAACATTTTTCTGCAGCTGGCTATTCTATCCATTGCAATCGGCAGAATTGTCGAAAACGGTTTGAAATTGTTTTTACAACGCTTCAAATTACTCAGGTGAGCAAGGAATCAAAAATATCTCCAAATGACAAAATGATAAGCGATCAACGAACCGAATAATAATGCTATGTCAGAAGTGGAAAGCAATAATGATATAATCTTCTTCGTTCTTTTTCATGACAAGCAGCCCGTGCGACACAACTCACTCGGGGCTGTAGAAGGAAACGAGCAAATTGTTGGCAAGCTGCTTCACGAAGTAAAGCCGAACATGATAAACGTGTGTTAATGGAATTTTTTTTGTTATGTCTTTTCTCGATTCATATCAAGCTATGTACTCATCCGTGTATATTTCAGCAAAGCAGGCAAGCAATACACTGAAGTCTTTTTTTACACGGTTTTTTTTACGCGGTTTTTTTTTTAAACGGTTTTTTTTACACTGTTTTCCACGATTTACACGGTACGTTTTTAACGATTTCTCGACAACGATACAACCTATCGACTTGATTCCAATCACATTATCCGTTTCAAGCTATAAGTAATCGAATGGCATACTTAAAAAAAATCACAATTTTTGGTGTAAATACAGAAATTTTAAAAATATGTCTATATGCACCATATCATGCTTGAATTATAAATGGCATCAAAATCCGATTTTTTAAAAACATTTAAGCATGCGAAAAATCAAAATCTCGTAGGTTTTTTTTACACGGTTTTTTTTACACTGTACGTATCCCCCGTGTAAAAAAAGACCTGAGTGTATATTATTATCCTTCTACCACTCGGATCGAGCTATTTTACAGAGCGAGTTTGTCATGGTATTCGTAGCAACCGTTCGTATCGTTGGTTGCTTTATGTGTTTGGATTCGCTGCAGGTGAGCGTATTGTCGGCAAACTCGTTTTTTTCGGCAACCTTTCCATTTGAACTGCATGAAAACCAGATGTTCTATTATCGGCAACTCGACATAAACCGTATTTTGTAATGCGTACCCGAGCAAAGTCTGAGATCAAATTGAAATCTAAACTTGATGTTGTGATTTTGCTGATAATGATTACATAGGTTGCTGTCGTTTTGGTCGTTTTAACGGTTAAAATGTCAAAATTGAGAGCAAAAAAATCTTCCTGTGACATAACATGGAAAACTATTTCTGCTTTCAGTGAGAGCAAACTGAAAACTCAATTTGATATCAATTTTTCCCGTTGATAACAAAACAAGTATTCAATTTGATGTTATGCTAAGGCAATGAAAACAAACTCGCAACAACATATTTTTGAAAAGCAAATTTACAGCAAAATGAAAACAAAAATTGTTGTCAAATTTGTCAACTGCATAAACTGAAATCAAATTATGATTTCAGTTTGATGTTGATATCAAAACTTGATTTCAATTTGCTGTCATTTTGATGCTGGACTTTGCTCGGGTATGCAATATAGAAGACAATACAGTGGTAGTAAGCAATGTGTTCGATACTGACAATTAAAAGTATCCACCCCCCAGTATCCAATTCCCTTTTGGTAATACTGATTTGGCTTGGTGTTGGTGTTTACTGAGCAGCATGTGAAAAACTGCGAGTCGGCGGGGGCGGACTGCGGAGTTTGCCAACGAGTGCCGGGGGAGTGCCCCAGGTCCGCTAGGACTTGCCGTCTGGGCTGGGGGGTCGGCTGCCCGAGGCCTTATCCGGGCTTCCGCTTTCCGGCGGGGGGATTGTGAAGTGATCACACGACCCCGGTCTGGATCCTATTTCCCGGTTGTTTCCTCGTTTCCTTGGCGTTCTTTTGTTGGCTGGTTCACGTTGGAGGTTGCCAACGAGCTCCAGGGGGGTTGCCCCCAAATTCGGACTACCGAGGTTGCCCGAAATGGAGGGGCCCCAGATGCCCGAGGTCTTATCCGCGTTGGTTCCTAGATGACCGAGTATAGTTCGGAATCCTTGAGAAAGCATAATAATGCCGCTTCTGCTGATGGGTCGTTGGAAAGGGCGTTTCTTATGCTCCCTTGGATTCCGTAGAGCTCCCTGGGTCCTTGATAGCATGGGCAGTTAATGACTATGTGCTCCACCATGTTGGTGATGCCGCATGAGTCGCATGATTTTCTAAAAGGGCCCCCGCCTCCCATGTTGTGGGTGGAGAGGGTGTGTCCGGTACGCAGGCGAGAAAGGGTGCGCTGGTCGCGCCAGTTGGGAGTATCTGCCCACTTGTGGGTTTCCCCTTTTATCTTTCTGATAAAAAGTGACCGGTTATTGGCCCATTCCCGGGACCAGGCGGTGCGGATGGTCTGTCGGACGTACTTCTTCAAATCTGGGCCAGGTACTTTTTTCGTATACAGTCTTCCGTGTCGGCCTGAAGCTGCGAGGTGGTCAGCCTCCGCGTTGCCCCTTATGCCACAGTGCCCCGGGATCCATACGAAAGCCGAGCCCCTAGGAGCCTGCTTTTGGATACCCTGGATCCACGGGTGCCTCGAGGTTGGAGACCTGAGGGCGGCTAGGACACTAGCGGAGTCCGAGAGAATACAGAGTGGTTTGTCTGCAGGGGTGGAGATGGCGTGGTAAATGGCGGCTGCTTCTGCCGAATAGACAGAGCATTCATCTGCGAGGCGGTAGAACGTACTGCATTCGGCGTCGGCAACCCCGAAGCCTACTCCCGTAGGCGCCTTGGAACCGTCGGTGTATCGGTGTTGGTGATTCCCGTATTTCCGGGCCAGCATTTCTGCGACATGCGCGTGTAGGGCTGCGGAGTTGGTTCCTGCCTTGAATTTTTTCCCGATTGACGTATCGACATTTAGGATTGGAGCGTCCCATACCCTTGCTCCGTTCCAGTGCACTCTGGATACTGGAGGGAGGTCTCGATGGGCGAGAGAGCTGAGGGTTCTCCTCCCCTCCCTGAGGAGGGAGACCTCGGTATCACCGGCTGTCTTTTCCTCGTGGCAGACTACTCTGCAGCAGACTGTTTCGGCGACCTTGTACCGGAAGGGGAGTACTCCAATCTCTATACATGCCGCGTCGGCCGGTGTCGAAGGAAGTAGTCCGGCGACGATTCGGGTGGCCGAGTTGTAGGTAGGACCTAGGCTGCGATTCAGGAGATCGGTGGCTGTCACAAAAGCTTCGATGCCGTAGAATATGCGGCTGTTAACCGTCGCTACGGCTGCCCGCAATAGGACGTCCCGGTTGGTGTTCTTGTGTGGCTTGGAGAGCGAACGCAGGATGTTGAGCCGGGTACCGCAGTTGGCTTTGATGTCAGCGAAGTGGTCCCTAAAGGTTAGAGACCTGTCTAAGCGAACACCAATGACCTTTATGGTTTTCCTGGCAGGGATCGGGACTCCGTTGGAGGTGACGGCTGTTGGCAGAGGATTGTGCCTGGATCTGCAAATGTGTGATAACACACTCTTCTCGGCGGACAGGGTGAACCCGGAACGGTTTGCCCACCTGGTGGCGGCCAAGACTGCTGCTTGCAACTTTTTGCGGATATTCTTTATGGAGCTGCCAATAACCAGGAGAACGATGTCGTCTGCATATACGTAAACGTATACTCCTTTCCCGAAGGATCGAAATATATCGTTCATGGCAATGACAAACAGGGTGACCGCGAGGACGGAGCCCTGGGGGACACCAGTCTCTTCCTCTTTGATGCACGAACGCTGGTTTCCGATCATAACCTGGAAGGTCCTACCATTTAGGAAATTCCGAATGAAGTGCAGCAGGTGCCCTCCCAGGCCCCAGTCTGCTAGCTGTTGGATAACCCGGGGAGTCCATGCACGGTTGTAGGCCTTGGAGAGGTCCAGGGACACGATGTCAGCGTGCATGCCGTCTTTCGTCGCCTCCTGTAGGGCGTCTCCAATGTCGGCGAAATATGTTCCAGTGCCGTGGCCGGGGCGGAAAGCGTGCTGACGATGGTCGATCAAGTTGTTGTCCTCCAGGTGGCGCATTAGTCGGCGGTTTACCATCCGTTCTAAGATTTTGCAGGGGCAGCATGTCAGCGAGATTGGGCGGTAATTGCTGGTGTTCGTGGTTTCTTGGCCTTGCTTAGGTATGGGGACTACCAGGCTGTGCGTCCACGAGTCCGGTATTGTATTGCCCGTCCAATGTCCGTTCAGGATGTCGAGGAACGCGGTTTTAGTCCGGGGCGGGAGATGACGAAGCATCGGATATCCAATGTCGTCTGGGCCGGCGGATTTCCCCTTACTCCGACTCAGGGCGAGATCGAGCTCGGCGAGGCTGAATGGGGCGTTGATGGGAAGTGGAGGATCGTCTTCCGGGATTTTGATGGTGGCGATGGACCGTTTCGTCGCGTTGTTCCGGTGAAGGAAGTCACTGTCGTAGCGGTCGATGGCGGATAGCGACGCGAAGTGGTCGGCAAGTAGGTTGCCGATGACGACCGGATCTCGGGTGAGGCCATTGGAAGCATTCTTTTGCGGGTATAGATCAGTGGGTTAAGTCTCAAATTTAGACTAATGTTCTGTTCTTGACCAGCTATAGCGATAGGGAGTCTGGGTTCAAGTGCAGGTAATTCTCGTTGAAACCAGGCCAAGTTTTCAGTACGGACTGTTTTTTTGGGTATCTGAATGGCATTATTCATCAACATCCTTAGTGAATCTGGAACACAGAACAAACTTCCGTCGAAAAAAACCAAACGTCAAAATCAATGTGATGAACGCATCCATACACAAGAACAATGAGCCCCAACCATATACGTAGAAAATTGTGACCCTCGTCATAGAAAAAATGATGTTTCCTAATGTTACTGTAGTTTCATACCAAATCTGTTGTGTGCATCTGATAGCATTTTTTCTCAGCTTTCAGATGATGAACTCTGAATCAAAATCGGTATTTGCAAAAATAGTAAAAATACAATATGGCGGCCTAATACAAGATCACCGCCAAAAAACTTCCATTCCGAAAGAAAGCCCTATCCTTCCTCCTCATAATAACGTGTTGTTTACAGAAGGGCTTCATTTGAAATTTCAACATGTCAAGAATTGCCAGAAATTAAACTTTTTTGAAAACTGTAAGGTCCCTTGGCGAGCGACGGGTCCACTAATTTTGAAACAAAATGGTTTCCTACTCCGCTCTGATCTGCGATCAAACACCACAACTAACTCTCTCAGGGCAAACTAGGGCAAAGAACGATATATCGGCACTGTCCTTATCCATATAGACCTCACAGTAAAGGGGTTCTTAATGATAAGCGAAAAACATAATTTACGAGCTCATGGATGTATTAAGGGAAACCGTGGTGGAATTCATCTATTCATTATTGGTATAATTTCACATAATATTACGATTTGCGCAGATACATTTTCGTTGGCCAGCATTCGTTGCGGCCGTCGGACGGGTGCACTATCAGATATCAGGCGGTCAAAAATCAAAAAATTGACTTTCACTAATCCTTATTTCGTTATTTTTGGTCAATAGTAAACATTTCAACTAAGAGAATCTGAAAGTTTCAAGCTTCTAGCAGTTTTAGTTTCTGAGATATCGGATGTCGAAGTCAAAAAAGAGTAAGAAAAGTACAAATTTTGCCGCAAAAATACACTACCACTCAAATAAAATTTCATCCACTATTTATCATATAAATACCACATCATTTTGTGGGGCCTCATAGCCTAGTCAGTAAAGGCACGGTATTACCAAGCCGGAGGCGGCGGGTTCGATTCCCGGTCCGGTCGAGGGAATCTTTCGGGTTGGAAATTTTCTCGACTTCCCTGGGCATAGAGTATCATTGTGCTTGCCACACAATTACAAATTCATGCATTGGCAATTGGCATCGAAATCTCTCAATTAATAACTGAGGAAGAGCATTTAGAACACAAAGTTGAGAGCACGAAATAAGCTAATATGCGCTAAGCAATAAGCTTGAAATGCGAATAAGAAGAAGAATACCACATCATTTTACATCGTTGGAAAGGTAATTGAATAAACTTTCCGAAAATAAGATCCATTTTCAAATTTGATGGAGACAAAAAAATTTAAAAATAAAAATAGGAAAAAAATAATTGAAAATTAATGAAAATTTAACTTTATTGATCACAAACTTTCGAGTCTCGCACATTCCCAGGCTAATTCTCAGCTCTGGATGAAGTTTTGAGTGTACTCTAACAAGTACTGCCCCAACCTGCCCCATTGGAAATATAAGCGATTTGAAAATTTTCGGTTATTATGGGAGATTTCAAATTGTACAAGAGCCGGCTTGGAAACAAACTTTTTCAACAATTATTTTGCAACTTTTGGAGTTATATTCGGTTGGTATAGTTATATATTGTTAAAGAACATTTTCTAATATTTCATGACCAACTTTTAAAAAGGGCTTAAGCTTTTGTACAAAAAGAAGTCATCATTATCATAAAGTTCACTGTTGGATGAACGTAAAACTACATTCGTTTATGCTTTATTCTAAAGTAAGTACCTGGGTTATGACGATTATAGAAGCATATGCGTAAGTATGTACCTACGCATATGCGCGGATGAGTTTAATTTATACCTAAGTCTGTACTTAACCTACTGTAGTGTCAATTTGAAGCCATAGTGTATTTTGTGTAGCTTTTATTTAAACTACTACAGTGTAATTCAAATTTACGGTTGAGACCAAGTGTGAGCATGGATAATAGAACCATTATTAATCTATTAGACGCAAAATTAAGCCATAGTGACAATGTTCACAGAGCCATTGAATTCATTTGTGAAAATTATAACATCTCGGTGGAAAAACGTAAACGTCTCGATGAAAAGATCCATAAAATCGTTACTAAATACATCAACAAATGGCATGAAGCTAATCGCACGAAAGAGCGATTTGAGTCGTATTTTCGGAATTGGCTTGATGGAGAATTTGGCATCGAGGATGTGTTGCCTCAACCTCGGCCTCGGGAACAAAACGTGGACGACCTTTCTTGGATTTGAGTGAAAGAGGAAAACGTCGCGTCATCGATAAAGAAGCAGTTGATCCAAAATTCGATACCATCGAGAAAGCTTTGTTATTTACAAGACGGGCCGCTTATAATCGAAAGGATTTTAATTTAGTTAAAGTTATTGGGCATATTTTAAAAAACCAAAAAAGCTCTAAAACCATGCTGGCTCAACTAACTGATCAACGAGGAATGAAGAGGCTTTTAGTGTACTTATCGAGGCTGGATTGAGTAGATTTCAATACGAAGTAATACATAGTGAATCTTTTTCAAGATTTCCACCTTACTATGTGATCGGAGCAGTGAAAAAAATATGCGCCCCTCCTAGTGAATTCATCGAAGAAAGTGCATTGAAAATAAGAGTGAAACTCCAGGCGCTGCTGGAAAATACAGTGAAACGAATCGTCCAAATAATTGATGCAGAGCTCAACGAGTATATGGATAGCAACGATCTAGTTTCTACGGAACTGGTTCTTCTATGTAGATGGGGTATGGACGAATCAACTGGATATTCGCAATATCATCAAGTGCTACCAGAAGGATGTCAGGACGATTCAGATGTATTTTCGTCCACTTTAACACCAATTCAGTTGTTCATGTACAATGATCGAAAGGAAATTATGTGGTTTAATCCCATGCCTCAAAGTATTCGATTTTGTAGGCCATTCATCCTTGAATTCATTAAAGAGAGTAAAGAAGTTATTCTGGGGTTAGCAGCCAACGGCTGAAAGTCTCCTTAATAAAGATATATAAAAAAAAGTTATTCTGGCTACAAAACAGGATGTAGAGAAAGAAATGAGTGAACCAAAGCCAGTGAAAATTGAAATCTCAAACGACAAGTTTATACTTGTTGATTTTGATTTTGTCCTCAGTATGATAGACGAAAAAGTCTAAACTTATATCACTGGAAATTCGTCGATGCAGAATTGTCCAATATGTGGGGCAACACCAAATGTAATGAATGATGCAGAGAAATTCGAGGAAGGATTTATATCAAACGAAGAAGCCTTGCATTACGGCATATCTCCACTTCATGCTTGGATAAGATTTTTCGAATGCCTTTTGCATATTGCATACAGAATGGATATCAAAAAATGGAAGGTAACGAAACCGTTCAAAGAACTATATGAGCAAAGAAAAAAACATGTGACGACACAGCTTTACGAAAAATTTGGAGTAAGAGTAGATCAGCAACGATCGGGTGGAGCAGGTACCAGATGAAGAGTTAATTTTCAGATTCCGGAATATATTAATTGCTATTAACTGCCAAGAGCCAATAATCCCGGAAAAATTTGATGCATATTGCAAGGAAACATATAGGCTCTATCTTAAATTGTATGATTGGTACAAAATTCCTGCAACCGTGCATTAAGTTTTCGCTCATGCCGGAGAAATAATCATACATTCACCAGCACCACTTGGTTCATTAGCGGAAGAGGCAGCAGAAAGTCAACATAAACAATGGAAAAAATATCCAACCCATCATGCAAGAAAACGATCAAGAGTAGAAAATTTACATGATGTCTTTATTCGTGCCAATTATAAATCGGACCCACTGATCAGTTCCATTTGGATGGCAAAAAGACGACAGAAAAAAGTATCCCTGGATTATCCCGACATCGTTAAAAGTTTCATGATACTTGAAAATTCTGTAAGTGATTCAGTAGTCGATACTAATAACTTCAATGCCTTGGAGGAACTTATGAAAGCAGTCGATGAAATTGAAGAAGAATTTGTTCATGATGATATTGTAACAGAGGAATAAAAAGAAATTCGTTGAAACATATTGGATTTTGATTATTGTATCATGGCTTTTTGTATTTTTTTACAGAAGATTTGTTGAAAAAAACAAACATATTTCCAAAACAAAAAGGTATTTTTTTATTTTAAACCATGGTATGTTGTCTTTGTTCAATAGATTTTATTCTCTGAAAACAAGCTGGATACTGGCCCTTTTCAAAAGTTGGTCGTGAAAATGTTGCAAAGTGATAACGCACACCTTATATTGATGAAACAAAGCAAGAATAATAGCAGAAATTATGAAAAATGATAGAAATATTTTTGCCGCCTGGTTGTATGAAAATGCCCCATAGTGGGATCTTCCTTCACAGGACAGTCGTCCTTTGCGTGAGAGGAATCACCACAATTCATACATTTAGCTGGCATGTAGCAATTTTTAGTTCCGTGACCCTATCCCTGGCACTTACGGCACTGAGTGAGGTTTTGGAAATTTCCTCCAGTCTTCCTGAAGTGTTCCCACTTCACTCGAACATGGAGCATAAGGCTAGCTTTTTCTAAGGCCTTAAGGTTGTTTAGTTCACTAGACTTGAAGTGAACTAAATAAAAATCATTAGAAATCCCTTCGCGCGAATCACCAGGACGGGATTTCATTTTCATTTTGATTACTTGGAGTGGCACAACTCCAAGTAATTTTGCCAGTTCATCTTTGATCTGATCCAGGGATTCACCACTGGGCAGTCCTTTCATGACAACCTTGAACACAC